GGTAGTATCAGGTAACTGTTGAGGCACCTGCTGCGTTTGAGGAGTGTGTTCTGAGAACTGTCAAAACAGACCTTTTAGTAGTGATGTTCTGAAGCTCTTGTGAAACAGTTGTCTCGAGAAAAAGTAAGTTATTAAGCAGTAGGATAAGCGGTAGGGTCAATTAAGACTACTGCTTAGGATTCTGCTGGCAAACTACGATTCCGTTATTGAGAAGTGTTGGGTGTGTGCTATGTTGACTGAAAATAAATCAACACACAATATATCCTGGTTCAGAGGTGGTGTAATCCTCCTACATCCAGTCTCATCCTATTTCAAATGGATTTCACTAATGTATTAAGCCCAATACACTTAGTGCCAATCTAACCTTGACAACTCTGGCCTAGATTGAAGGTGTTTCACGAGGAGTACAACACCAGTCTAACCTACTCAATCCTTTAGGTTTTTCTCGATTGATCCAGTGGGGATCAAAAGGTACTCTTGACCTATCTAACCACACTTCAGGTCGGGAAAAACTGTCCTTCTCAGTGTTTTACAACACCTTGTATACTACAAGAAAATTCTGGTCTCCAACTAAAAACTAAGCTCTAAAATATAAAAATGATGATCTAGTCTAAGAGCTTAGTGAAACATGAGCTAAAGCAGAGAGTGAAGTTATGATCAAGCACTTTCTCTTTTGCTAGATATCCCTTGAACGCTTATAGGACTTCTCTGATTTTGTACTCGAGAACTTATTTTAGAACTCATGCTTCGGCCTTTATTTATAGACGTCTCCGGTAGATTACTATCATCCGTCGGTTGAGATGATTTAATCATGTTCGTTGAATCTTTGTTTCAGAAGATAACAACTTGTTGTTCATCTTCTTCTTTGGAGCCGATAACTTCTTTGTCTCTATTTACCTAGCGGCTGCAGTTTTTCTCTTTAGGCTTTCCACTTGACTGCTCATCCCATGCTTTGGGTCAGTGTACGATTTTGCATTAAATGTCCTCCATGCTGGATTCCTTTTCTTTGATTGGCTCCGGATGATCACGAGACGATATAACAAATAATCGAACGGTTAATTTTTTATTCTAATAAAATTTCTACTGGTAGGATTCGAAGATCCTTTTAAGGTAAATGAATTTACCTCATTGCATTTTTACTTTCCAGTATTAATTTTATTAGTCTTAAAAATTATACATATATTCAATTATACACATGAATTTTTCGTACCAATGTGCCTTTTCTTTCTGCGACGAATTAAAATGTTTGTAATAAAGTAAATATACCAGTAGGATTTAAATATCCTTTTCAAGGTAAAAATTACCTTATTGCATTTTGACTTTGCCGGTATAATTTATTTTATACAAACATTTTTCTTTTGACTTCCGGTCACTCTTGGTTGTGTATGGCCCAGCTAGTATTTCGAACATAAACCAAATATTAAATTGGTAGGATAACAAATCCTATTAAGGTAAAAATTATTACCTTATTGCATTTTGTGTTCCACTAAAATAAATAGTTTTTGTTCGAAATACTTTGTTTTCATTTGATGTGATATTAACAAATAAGTTAAGCTGGTAGGATCTATAAGAAATCCTTATTATAAGGTAATGGAATATTACCTTATTGCATTTTGACTTTTCGAGTTAAACTTATTTGTTAATTTACCATTTGAGCAAGACAGTTTCAGAATTTCAAATTTAAAGAATTTGTTCTTGTCCGGAGGCAACAGAGACCCTCACTCTCTGATCCGGCGCAGTTCTGTCCGGAGTCAACAGAGACCTTCGCTCTCTGATCCAGAGCAGTTCTGTCCGAGGCCAACAGAATACCTGAAAGGTGTTCTGGTACGGAAGCCAACAAAGTACTTTACTCAACAAATGGTTAGAGCAGAATACATGATAGCTACCAAAGAGGGGGGGGGGGGGGGGGGGGGGGCAAAAAGAAAACTATGGCATCATCAAAACACTTTATCAAAATCTAGGGGACTAACAAAGTCCACCATTTTTTTCAGCACAAAAGTAGAGGATGGGCAGCGGAAAGGCTTCAAGGATATGTTGGGAGTACGACCGATGGAGACAGGGGCTAGATATTTGGGTCTTCTGTCACCTGTGGGCAGAAGTAAAAGGGAGGTTCTTGGTTATATTAAAGAGAGAATTATTAAAAGGTTGAGTAGCTGGAATCATAAGTTCTTGTCTAGGGCTGGGCGTGAAGTTCTCATTAAAACAGTTATCCAGGCCATGCCTAGTTGTGCAATGAACATTTTCCTTTTCCCAAAGGAGATGTGTGATGAGATCGAGAGAATTATGAACGGCTTTTGGTGGAAAGGCAAATCTGACAGTGGAATTCGATGGTCGAATTGGGAGAGAATGTGTGTCCCGAAGAAGTTTGGAGGCATGGGATTTCGGAAGTTAAGGGAATTTAATATTGCAATGCTTGGCAAGCAACAGTGGAGACTTCTCACAGAACCGTCTTCATTATTATCTGAGGTGTTTCAAGCCAGATATTTCCCACTCTTCTTTTTTGGATGCCAAACTAGGAGGATCACCATCTTTTTTATGGAGGACTATACCTAATGCCCCGGATTCGAGACCGTCCTCGGATGTTGTAGAGGGGTTGGAGGAGACTACGGTGGCTGGCCTGATTTTGAATGACGTAAGGGAATGGGACGAGGATTTGATTTTGGAGTTGTTTAATGAGGCGGATAATGCTCATATACGGGGCTAATATTATGCATCTGTTCAGGGAGTGTCATAGGGCAAAGAAAATGTGAGGCTTATTGAGCTTGACTACTTCGGCAGTAGAATGGAAAAATTTTATTGAATGAGTGCAAACTTTTTTTCGATCCAGGGAGGAAGAGAGCCGCTGCATTTTTTGTATGACACTTTGGAGTATATGGCATGCTAGGAATAAGAAGTTATGGCAGCAGAAGGATATAACCGTCAGGGGTATAATTTTGGAGGCAACTACTTTTCTTGAAGGGTGGCGTCGAGCCCAAGAAGGAGGGGGCAAGCATGGTCAATGGGAAAGTACTGTGGTAGTTTGAAAAAACCCCGAAGGAAGGCCGATTAAAATTGAATACAGATGCTGCTATCGTTTCTGGTCAGGTTTGTGGATTGGGATGGGTGGTCCAGAACAGTGAGGGTCACTTTGTGGCAGGGGGTATAGATAGACGTTTTGGCACTTGCACCCCAAAAGTGGCTGAGGCCTTGTTGATAAGAGAGGCATTGAGTTGGCTTAAAAACGCAGGTTGAGATAATATTGATGTGGAGTCTAACGCTCTTCAAGTTATTTCACGCTCAAAGTCTGGAGTAGGTGATTCATCGATTGGGCTTATTATTGAAGATATTAGAGAGTTGTCTTTTAGCTTTGCTAGTATTTCTTTTTCTCATGTGAAACTATCTGCGAATCGAATGACTCATGATCTTGCTAGGGTTGATGTTTCTATGTCTGATCGCTATCGCTCTATTTGGCTTTTTCATTATCCTCTTTGTATTAGTGCTTCTTTGAACAATGACATGATTAATGATAATTAACTAGAGTTTTTTCTCAAAATAATGTTAATTAAAAAAATATTTACCAAAATAAGGTTAAGTTAAAAGTATTTTCCCAAAATACTGCTCCCCTAAATTCTAATTGAGAGAGTCGTCACTTGAAACGGCAGCTTACGTAAAACAAGTAAAGCACGCAGAAGGCGGCCTACTTAGCAAGATGAGATAGGGCCCCCACAAAAATATAAATCCCATTTTTAGTTAAAAGTGATATAACTTTTATATTTGTACTATGATCATTACAAAAAATACATTAAAATTCATAACTTTTTATTATCTTTCATATGACACCAATACTGAATATAAAACAATTTTAAAAAAATAACACCTTAAAATCCATAATTATTTATTATCTTATTTCTAAATAATACATATTTTTTATTTGCACTCCGATTATAACAAACAATATATCAAAATCCATAATTATTTATTATCTTTCACATGACACTAATTTTGAATTTATAAAATTGAAAAAGTAATTCTATTAATTGGTGCGGTTTAAAATCATATATTTACCGTGCACACAATTATTTGGAGTGATAGATTAGAATAGAATTGCACAAGGAATAAAACAACAAATAAAAGTGATGAAGTTTGTGCAATTTTATTTTACAGTGTGTGTTGTAAAAAATGATTCTAAAAAACTGCACAAATGAATTCAATTAATTTTTAATTTTTATATATTCAAAATTTGTGTCTTATGATAGATAAGAAAGACTTGTGAATTTTAATATATTTTTTCTTACAAAAAAAACATTTACAAAAAATATATTTTAAATTGTTAATTTTTTTAAAGTTTTAATTTTAAAAAATTAAATATTTGAATCTATTAATTTATTTTAAGGAAATTAAGGAAATTTTAGTATGTTAAAAGTGTGAATCTGATTATGTGAATCTATTAAAATATATTTAAAAAGTTATGTTTAAAACTCATTAAATTAAGTAAATTAAATATGTCTTAGTATTAATTTAATATTAATTATTTTTTTCTAATTATGTGAATCTAATTTACATGAGTTGAAATTTACAAAAAAGATATTTTAAAGTGTTAATTTTTTTTTTTAATTTTGTTTATGCAATATTGATGTCATATGAAAGATAATAAAAGTTATGAATTTTGATGTATTTTTTGTAATGAAAAGAATATAAATACAAAAGTTATATACCTTTAAAATAAAAATGAGATTTTATTTTTGTGGGGCCCCCATCTCATCTTGCTACTTGAGTTACTTGTTGCCCGGGTGCTTTTACTTGTTTTACGTAAGCGATCCCTGCAAGTGGTGTTTCTCTCGACTAGGATTTAGATGTAAAGGAGCAATGTTTTGGGAAATACTTTTAAGTTAACCTTATTTTGTTAAATATTTTTTTAATTAACATTATTTTATGAAAAAACTCTTTCTTCAATAACAAAAAAAAAATAAGAATGATTGATAAAATGAAATTGTTTTGTTGTAATAATTAAATTAATTCCTGTGCAAATGTTTCTGTTATTCCGACCCCAAAGCCCACAATCCTCTCCCTTCTTCCCTTGCTAAATTCCTGCAAGTGCCACCACAAAATGGATAATCGGATCGAAGATGACGACGGCGACTTTTTCGCACCTTTCACCACGGCTACTGGTTCTGCAGATACATCTGGCGCCAGAGAGCACCTTAATTTTCACTCCCACAATCAAAACTACATCTTCTCTCCGTCGCCACCACTAGCGAGTCCTGACTCCGACGACGGCAGTGATGGCGACCATAGTAACAATTGCAAATTCAACCTCGACGGGACTCAAAGAACGCCAAAGATATTCGACCGGTTCTACGATTCCACATCCGACGATGACGACGAGGAGTTCAACCGCCAAAATGACGCTGCCCAGAAACGCCTCGACTACATGATCCAATTCCTCGACCGGAAACTCTCTTCTTCGTTGGACTCCGCGTCATTTAACAGCCGCAACAATAGCACCACTACTCAGCCTCTTCCTGAATTTGTAGGCCGTGGCGGTGGCAGGGGCATATTCAAGCTCCCGGACCGGTCAGAGGTCCACCCGGATAGACCGCCATCCCTCGAATTGAGGCCTCATCCTCTTAGAGAAACCCAAATTGGGCGGTTTTTGCGGACCATCGTTTGCGCAGGCGATGGATCTCAGCTGTGGGCTGGTTCTGAATGCGGGGTTCGTGCTTGGAACTTGAGAGATATTTATGGCTTGGCTCATGATGAGGAGTTTGACCATGATTCAGCACCGTTCTGTGAATCAGTGGAGACCCCTCCTACATTGTGCCTGGTAGGCGATGCTGCAAATAAGGTTGTCTGGAGTGGGCATAAAGATGGCAAAATCAGATGCTGGAAAATGGATAGTGCTGGTGGAAACCAAAGGGATTTTGCAGAAGTTCTATCGTGGCAGGCTCATAATGGTTCAGTTCTCTCTATGGTCATAACTTCCTATGGTAAGTTTTCATTTTTTGGACTCATTAGTTAATCTGGATGATTTTTTTTAATTGGACTTTGGTACAACCGTATAGCTATTTTGCCAGCAGCTTCTCTTTCAAATATGTCAAACGCTGTCTACATGCTCGAGGTTTTAGTTTTCTCATCTAGGACTCAAGGCACATGACAGATATTGTTAGACCCCATTTCTGCAAATATTCCCATGTAAAAAACAAAAAGTGGCCACTTGATTTCTTTTTCAGAATGTAATCCCAACAATGTTGTTTTGGGGGTAAGGCTTGGATATTGTTGTTACTTGTTGTTGTAATGTAATAGCAACAATAGGGAAATTAGAGGATCATAATTCGTCAAACTGATCAAAACGTTTTCCTTCACATTTTTATTTTTGCTTCCTATATTCCTTTGAATCCTTGATAACCACCAACAGAATGTTTTCACTAACTAGATTCCTGTCTCCATCAATTGTAAGCTGCTACCAAAAGTTTGAAATGAACCCTCTCACCCATGAATTTTTTACTAACCCCATATAATTTCCTCTTTTCCCTATTTGAGTTTGACAAGTGACAGGCATGTGAAATAAGAAAGTAAAAACTGTGTTTGAGGTTTGTGCGTACTGCATAGCAAATTAGTTACTTCAAAGGGAAAATGATAAAGTTTTTGGGACAATGAAAAAAAGAACGCTTGGAATATCCAGTGGTACGAAGGCTGTAGGTGTTTATAATGACTGTTATTGTGTAGCCAGGGTCTCTAAATATTCAGATTTGGAGTGGGCCAGTAAAATATTATATCCATATGAACTATATAGTTCAAACTATACATTTCAAACTAATTTTTAACCGAGCTTGGAGTGAGCTAGGGCTCTAACCTCTAGCTTCACCATTGACCACTACTATCACACATGTTTTGAATGTTTCCACCACATGACTTTAGAGTTTTCACATAGATCACAGGTGTGCACATCCCTACATCTATGTTGTTGTAGTTGTGTTATACTATGTGTATGATAGAGAGCAAGAAGAGCATGGGGCGGGAACGGGATTGGGCCCACTTCCATGGTCCGGTTATGGGCTGGGATTATAGTTTTATTTATTATTATAAAGTTTATGTTATGTTTTTAGTTTGGGCCAGTAGAGTACTTAGTAGAGTTAGTATGGGCTTAATTAGGATTTAATTAATTTGGGCTTGATTAGGATTTCTCTTAGAAGGCTATTTATACCCCTTGCCAGGGTTCATTCTTGATCATCTTGGAATAAAATTGGAGTTTTAGCCTTTTGGCTCTGGGCAACGGTAATTTTATCGTTGATTATTTGGGCAACGTTTTACCCCGTTTATTTTTATTTTTCTGTTCTCAACAATTGGTCCGACCCGCCGGATCCCGTCCCGCCAAGATGATGAGATATCAGAACGATCGCTTGACAGAGTTGGAGGCCGATCAAGCTCGGACGAATCAAACCCTGGAGGAACACGGTTTGCGGCTGGCTGAGATCGCTGCATCTCTGGCAGCGTTAACCCAGGCCTTAGTGCCGCCGGTCTCGCCGGAAACATCCTCGGTTGCGGTCGGAAGTGTTGCCGTGACTGCGCCCAGCGCTGACGGACTGCCGCGCAACACAACACCAACCCTGTTGTCCGCATTTGACGGAGAAGACCCGATTGGGTGGACAGCGCGTGTTGAACATCAGTTTGAACTCAACAGAACCCTACCGGACAGGAAAGTGGCAGCGTCTGTAGTTGCCATGGAAGGGGCTGCCCTCTTTTGGGTAACCTGGCTGAGAGCGCGCAACCCCGGCATGACCTGGGCGGATTTCAAGCAAGCTCTGGTGGTCACATTCAATTCCCGATTTCAGGGGAATCAGTTTGAACAACTGGCCGGTGCCAAATAGATTGGATCAGTGGAGGACTACAATACCCTATTTGTTCAGTTAGCCAGCCAAGTTCCGGGATTGTCCGATGATCATTATTTGGGATACTACATGAGCGGGCTAAAAGAATCACTCCGAAGCTCGCTACACTTGTTTCTACCGGGTAACTTGGAAGAAGCCATGGAATTAGCTCGCGATGTGAAGCATAATTTGTCTGTCCGGAGTGGAGGAAGTGGCAGCCCGAATTATAATCCTTCCGAGGTACGTTCCAGCAGCTTTTTAATGTCAAACACGGATCCTCCGTTGACTGTCAGTGGTGGCAGCTTACATGGATCAAGTGGCAGCTTTCCGAAAGATAGTGGATAGCCCCCGGGGACAAAGTCAGGGCTGTCCGGGCAGCCTACGACACGCTCTCAGTTCTCTCGACTTCCGCCAAAGGAGTTAGCAGAATTGAGGGCGAAAGGATTATGCTTTATGTGTAAGAAACCATTTACACCAGGGCATGACTACCCCTTTAAACAGTTGCGGGTAATGATAGCTGAGGAGGATGAGGAGTTGGACCTCCAACAACATGAGTACTGTGAAATAACCGGCAAGGAAAAGGTTCAGGAAGGAGATGAGATATTTTCCAGTCTATTATATGGCTGGAAATTTCAGTCCTCGATCTGCGAGATTTCAACCTTGAGGACACGGTTATTTCAAAGGAGGATGGATTGATAGAGAGCAAGAAGAACATGGGGTGGGAACGGGTTGGGCCCACTTCCGTGGGCCGGTTATGGGATGGGATTATAGTTTTATTTATTATTATAAAGTTTATGTTATGTTTTTAGTTTGGGCCTGTTAATAGTAGAGGATTTAGTAGAGTTAGCATGGGTTTAATTAGGATTTAATTAATTTGGGCTTGATTGGGGTTTCTCTTAGAAGGCTATTTATACCCCTTTCCAGGGTTCATTCTTGATCATCTTGGAATAAAATTGGAGTTTAGCCTTTTGGCTCTGGACAACGGTATTTTTATCGTTGATTATCTGAGCAACGGTTTACCTTGTTGATTTATATTTTTCTGTTCTCAACAGTGTAGTGGGTCTATAAATATGTTCCGTTGAGGGTCTTTGTACTCTTACACACTAATTTCTCATTTCCTTGTAAATTTGAATATTGTTTGTAGTACCTGTCATAAAAATTGTTGCCTAACAATATAGCAAGGCATTGGTTGACGTTGCTAGCTGCCTTGTTTCTGCTGTTCTTCCTACCATTACTCGGTAGTGGCCAAGAATGTGAATAATTAGTGTTGAGGAATGTACGTAACAGGGTAACAGGCAACTTCATTAGATTTGCATTCTTCTCATCATTAATAGTGGAGTAGGGGCACTAAAGGGGTATTGAATAGCGTATTTTTAAAACATGCCAACAAACTTAGGTCCTTTTCCTTGGTTGATTTACCTTTAGAGAAGGCAATACTCTCAATATCCGTATGACCGTAGTATGTTTATATGTAAAAAGCTCGTGCTCCATCCGCTGCCTCCATTCACATCATCCTTTTCAAGCGAGTCTTATAAAAGTCTCCCGTAGTATTTATACGTTGGGAAATTGTCAAAGTAAACTTGTGTTTACATTTCGTAAAAGTATAGAAAACCTATTCATGTAGTTAACGACTCTTGAGTTTTAAAATTCATACATAAAATTTGTGTCAAATCATGCAAGGCCTCAACAGTGGCCTTTTCTGAAGTTTGTTGTGTGAAGCATATTTCAAGGTCAATTCACAAAGTATTCGACAATGGACAGAGTGTGTGTTATGGATTACTTTTGATTGGCATTTTGCTATTTCATGTCAAGATAAAACTTTTCAAATGACCTTTGGTACTGGACACCCAAACAACTTGTTTGGAAATCCTATCATTGTTAAAGCACTCGTTTTTCAAGAATTAAAGAGAAAGATGGTTACCTAATTGATTTATCAAACAACTTGTCTTAGTAATCAAAGATGCACTTTCTAGTTCTTATCAGAAGACAACACTATTCAAGATCTGAGCTTGGTTTTCACAATGATCTAGGCTGAGATTCTAGGAAGTAGCAAGTAGCAACCCAATATGACTGCTTGATTTAAAAGAAAGGAGGTCTTAGCTGAATAAATAATAAGTTAATAAATACTAAATACTCAGCAGTCAGCACGTTCAAAATGAGGCACCAGGCATGTTTGACATCTTTATAATTCAATATTTAGCATGAGTAATACTTATTTAATTTATTAATTATTACTGTATTAGTAAAGAAGTTTCTAAAATATCCAAGGAACTGAATTTGAATTTGATTTAAATTTGTTGCACAAAATAAATGACTAAAGAAGATTTAGTTAGACAACATGAATACTTGAATAGTTAGGAACCAAAAATGTAGCAGAAGGGGGAATACGTATGAAAGTGGGTATTGATAGGCGATAGCCTTTTTGGAGTGTTAGTCCGTAATCTTGTAACCTTGAAGATAAATCAATGAAATGAGGATAAGTATAATTGCTAAAAGTATAAAACCAACTAACACTAAAATACTAAAGATAGGATAAACGCTTAGTATCATAAGGATTATAGAGATTGTCATAAGGTGCCTTGTGTTGTAGTGTGAGCACTGGGCACTGCTCATCCACTGTAGCTTCTTCTAATTACCTCGTTTGTAGAGTACTAGAGTCCTCCTCTAAACTAAGGTGACATGAATGAACCATTGGTCTGAACTTATTAGAAATTTAGAACTTCATAATTAGTTTGAGCCAAATCAATAGCCAATACATTACCTCTTTAGGGTTGAAGCTATCTTCATGTCCAATCTCTTGGGTTCATTCCTGCAGAATATAAGAAATTATTGCATGCTGGATCTTCTTCGCTCATGGAACTCTTAAAAAGATCTAGAACTCTTGAGGCTTGGTTAGTTGGTTACCTATCAAAAGTTCACAAGCATGTCGCATTTTAATTTTGATTATCTGCTGTTACTTCTTTTTTCATTAATTTCTCAAAATAGCCACCATAGTCACTTTTTTTGGAATTTTGAACAGAAAGCCCTCTATTTTCTGATTCATTTTCATTTACCCCAGTGCCGCAAAGGCTCCCACCTACGGTGGGGTAAGGGGGGGTCGGATGTATGCAGTCTTACGCCTGTACTAAAGCACAGAGAGACCGTTTCCGGCTCTATTTTCTAATTATTATAGGTAAATCGATCTGCTTCCACCATTGTACACACACTTAATACAGCAGTATCTACTGTGTTGTAACTGTTCTCATTCTATGTGTGCTAGATTATTTTTGTAAATGGATGGAAAATGTGAATTAAACATGAAAGAAAATGCTATAGTACTAAAGAGGATAGCATTGGTACTATTTTGATACATTTTAATCTCTTCTAGGTGATTTATGGTCGGGATCTGAGTGTGGTGCTATCAAGATCTGGACTTGGGAAGCAATTGAGAAATCGCTTTCTCTAACAACAGAGGAGCGCCATATGGCTGCTTTATTAATAGAGAGGTCATATGTGGATATTAAGAGCCAAGGTACACTTAATGGCAATAATATATTCTCTTCTGATGTCAGATACATGGTGTCTGATCGCTCCAGTGCAAAAGTGTGGACTGCTGGTTACCAGTCTTTTGCATTATGGTAAGTAGCTTTTAGGAAAGCATCTTTTTGATAAATAAAACTGGGTAACTTTCAGGAAAGGTGTTTGAAAGTATTTTCTTAATTTTTTCTTTTGCGTTGATCATTAAACACATGTAGCGACTACTAGCATCTATTAATAGATACTATCATAGCTGAGGTAAAATGTTCAAGGTATAAATGCATATGCACTCATGTTAAGCTTTCACATGCCCTTTTAGTGTGCATTATTTTTTCACATTTAAGATTTCACTAATCTGTAGGTGAAAGGTTTTTACATCTGTTATTTCTAAGATGCTTCCTTGCACAGAAGTGGAGCATTAATTTTAGTGATTTTCTAGAAATGAAATGAAACACTTTTGAGGGGAATTCTAATGCTGTTATCTGTATTTTGTTTATTGCTTTATTGTCATTGATTATTGTCTGTGCTAAATGCTAATCATATTTCATATCACAAGTCACTTATTTTTGTTGTATGTAGGGATGCACGGGTGTGGGAGTTATTGAAAGTCTTCAACATAGATGGCCAGGTTGAAAGCATCTCGGCTGTTCAAGATCCTGTAATGGAAGAAGAGTTGAGGATGAAATCTGTATATGGTTCAAAGAAGGAGAAGTCACAGACCTCCTTTAGTTTCTTTCAGCGATCGCGTAATGCTATTCTAGGAGCGGCTGATGCTGTTCGTAGAGTTGCTGCAAAAGGAGGTTTTGGAGATGATAATCGCAGAACTGAAGCTCTTGTCATTACGATTGATGGAATGATTTGGACCGGGTGTGCTAATGGATTACTGATCCAATGGGACGGTGATGGAAACCACGTGCATGAAGTTCAGTACCATACTTCTTCTGTTCAATGCTTTTGTACTTTCGGATCACGAATATGGGTAGGATATTCCAGTGGTACTGTTCAGGTGCTGGATCTGAATGGTAAATTGCTTGGAGATTGGTTAGCACATGGGAGTCCAATTTTAGGCTTGGCTGTCGCTGACGGTTATGTTTTTACCTTGTCAAATCATGGTGGTATACGTGGGTGGAGTATATTGTCTCCAGCACCCGTTGATAGTCTATTGCATTCAGAGTTGGCTGAGAGGGACTTTCTATATACTAGAATAGAAGATCTGAAAATATTGGCTGGTACATGGAATGTTGCACAAGGAAGAGCCTCTCACGACTCACTCATATCATGGTTAGGCTCTGCAGCTGCAGAAGTTGGCATTGTTATTGTTGGGCTGCAGGAAGTGGAGATGGGTGCTGGTTTTCTTGCAATGTCTGCTGCCAAAGAAACAGTGAGATTCCCTCCATGTCATCTCTTTTGTGTATTTGGCTCTTTTTGCCTGTATGTCTCCTCTCATAATTCACTTCCCCTTCTTTTGCTTTTGTGTTTTTGAAGTAAACAGAATTAAGTTAAAACAAAGATCAATGTGTGCCAATATTTCAATAGTGTTAGCATTAAAAAGTTGAACTCGCATTTGCATGTGTGTGTAGATGCAGGTAGGTCTTGAGGTAAGTTCAACAGGGCAATGGTGGCTGGACATGATAGGGAAAATATTGGACGAAGGATCATCTTTTGTACGTTTTGGTTGCAGGCAGTTGGCAGGCTTGCTTATTGCTGTATGGTAAGTGCTATTTATGACTGAATAAGTATAGCCAAATTTAGGATTCGATTGAAACTGGTATTGGCTATCCCATGGGTATTTAAGTTGGTTTCATTTTGCAAGTATGTCTTTTCTGCAGGTTTCATGAAAGAAACGAAGAAGTGAAAAACAATTATCATTAAACCTGCACTTTTTTGTCTCAAAGTTAAAGTTAAGAAATAAGAACTTAAAAGAGAAAATCTGATGTTTTCCCCCCAAAGATCTCCCAACACCTACTATCACAATGGAAACTATAGCCTTGCTACTAGCTGTGTACCCAGCTACCTTAACTGCAGCTGGCAACTACTGACAGCGTTATAGTATCCAGCCACCACATAAAGACACATTGTGTTAGTTTTAGGACATTAGTGTGCCATAACAATACTACTTTTTCAACAAGTGGCACACTTGTTCTCACATTTCACCGGTAATAATTGCAGATTCGATTAATAATTTAGTTTTACTTTTGGAATTCGTATCTTATAATAAGTTGATAATTTCATGACCTATAAGCAGCTTCTTATTTCTCCATGTCAAAAATATGTTGATATAGCGGCTCAATACTGAAGTTGCAAAATCTAAAGAATTGGAATGAATGTTATAGTAATTGAAAGTAATGCTCCTAATCACTTGTAGATTGTTTAGGTCTGTCAATGGCTTGTGTTGGACTCATCTTCACTTTTTGGGACATGAGTGCTTCAAATGTTTTCAAATTCAATTGTTAGTGATATATTTTTACTTTTTACTATTTCAGGGTCAGAAGAAATATTAGTCATCATGTTGGGGATGTTGAAGTTTCTGCAGTTCCATGTGGGTTCGGGCATGCAATTGGGAACAAGGTACTCATGTTTTCCTTTTTAATAGCAGATTGAGAATTAATTACAGAAATTTAGTCCAAACTTTTTTGTTATTGAAGTAGTGATCGATGTTAGTTCATTTTAAAAAGGGAGCTGTAGGCTTGAGAATGAGAGTGTATGGTCGTGTTATGTGCTTTGTGAACTGCCACTTTGCTGCACACTTGGATGCTGTTGGTCGTCGAAATTCTGATTTTGATCATGTGTATCGAACAATGGTCTTCAGTCGTCCATCTAACCTTCCTAATGCTTCTGCCACTGGTATAGTGCAACACCTATTCTCATGTTCCTTGCTTGCCTGGTTGATGTTTTTGATATGGCGTGTTTATGGTTGTCGCTTTCTGTTCGCCCTTTCTGTTGCAGCCGGTGTCTCATCTGCAGTTCAGATGCTACGTGGTGCAAATGTATGTACCTAAGTTCATGTGTTAACAGTTGAGATTATTAATTTGAATTTTTCATTTATGATAGTTATAATCGAAGTATTTTTGCAGGGAGCGGTTAACTCTTTAGAAGCTTTGCCGGAGCTATCTGAAGCAGATATGGTCATCTTTCTGGGGGATTTCAATTATCGTCTTGATGGAACATCTTATGATGAAGCAAGGGATTTTATCTCACAGAGGTCTTTTGACTGGCTAAAAGAGAGGGATCAACTGCATACAGAAATGGAAGCTGGCAATGTCTTCCAAGGAATGCGGGAAGCAGTAATCAGATTTCCTCCCACATATAAATTTGAAAAGCACCAGCTTGGTTTAGCTGGTATGTGTACATGTAAAAGTTCTATTTCAGTTTGGTCAATTCATTCACTAGGTTGTGCCTTAATTTCTAGGCTTGTTGAAATTTCTCTTTGAAGGGTATGATTCTGGGGAAAAGAAGCGTATTCCTGCCTGGTGTGACAGAATTTTGTACCGTGATTGCCGTACCTCTTCAGTTACCACATGCAGTTTAGACTGTCCTGTAGTATCTTCAATTTTGCAGTGAGTTTTATATAATTACCATTGTTATCAACATTCCCATCATTGTGCAGTACTGCAGTGGATCACCCTGAATCTTACTAACCTATAGGGTGTGGTTCAAGTAATCATTTACTCATTTTATCATTATTATTTTAAATTTTATTTTTTTTCCTAGACAGTTGGTTCTAAGGTATAAGCTGGTAGACCGTAATAACATCTTATGTAAATCAAATATATTCTGATTTATAGATTTAGATAACTGATAACAAACGCATCTGGTTACAATAAATTACTCTGGGTCCCAAAACAATGTCTTTCTGCCCCCCAAAAGAATCTGATTGTTAAGATCTACTTCAACTTTTAAGTAAAATTACTGTAAAATGTAGTGGCAAGTGGTTTTAGTCAATTATTACTCCACAGTCCTGCAAGTTAGCTTCAGGGGTATAACCGTGCAAGTGACCATTCTAACTTGTAAAAGCTTGTACCTTAATTGAGTTGACTAAATATAGAAGGATGTCCCTTACTCAAACAAGACATTTTCTTGAATGGACAGAGGGTGCATATTTTGCCAAATTACATGTATGTTATCTTCATCATCTGAGACTGCGGGATGATCCATTTTCTTATCATTCCTTTCCCACCCTTGACCGTGTATACATAATTGATCATGCATCACTTTGCATCGTACATTTTGGCCTCTTATATTATCAAAAGGATTGATCTTGAAATAGGTATGAAGCTTGTATGGATGTGACAGACAGTGACCATAAACCAGTGCGGTGCATATTCAGCATTCGGATTGCTCGTGTAGATGAGTCGGTGAGGAGGCAAGAGTATGGAGAGATAATTAGATCTAACGAGAAAATCAAGTCATTGCTCAAAGAAGTATATGAAGTTCCCGAGGTAGTTGTCAGTACAAACAACATAATCCTCCAGAACATGGATGCATCCATCTTGCGCATCACAAATAAATGTGGGATGGGAATAGCTCTGTATGAGATTGTTTGTGAAGGCGAGACCACCATCAGGGGTGACGTGCAACCATTTGATCATCGTCCAAGAGGTTCTTTTGGTTTCCCGAGGTGGCTTGAGGTAAATTCTTGCAATTTAGAGGAGATAAATTGTTCCATCATATTGACTGGTTTTGATCCTCGTGGATTCTCAGTATTGCTTTAGCAGTTATCGCCTTATCGGTCATCTTTAAAAATGGGACTGTGTGTGCGTGGGGTGGGGGGGGGGGGCTATTTTCTTCTAAAGCATTAGGTGGTAGCTTTAGGGCTAGTACCTGGTCTGGTTTAAGTTGGACCTTTAAGAGGCATGACCTTAAGTGGGACCTTTAAGAGGCATGGGCGAATAAATACACAAAACGAGTTTGAACATATCCTTTAGTTCCTCCTATTTCTTTCCCTTGTATTTCCCATGTTCCAAACAGGACCCTCAAAGTTTAATTTTATGTACAGGTAAGTCCAGTTGGTGGGATTATTGAACCAGATCATATTACTGAAGTCGTAGTTCATCACAAGGATTACCAAACAGTGGAGGAGTTTGTGGACGGCGTCCCACAAAACGGTTGGTGTGAAGATGCAAGGGACAAGGAAGTAATTTTGGTTGTCAGGATCCGTGGAGGCTGCACCACCGAGATGAGGTGCCACCGTGTTCGGGTTCAGCACTGTTTTTTAGGCGGGAGCAACAAGACTGTTCCTCATAATAATAAAAAACCCGGCGACACTAATAACCTTTTCCGGGCAGATGTACTTCACCGCTCTGATATTCAGCACCTTAGCCTATCATCTGATGTGTTTGAGCACCTAAAGAGTATTCAGAGTCCTTAAAGAAGGATGCCAGGGTGGTGATGGTGTTTTTCTATGTCAAACACAAGTGGACTTTCACAAAGTAAAATACGAGGTACAAAGATTGTTTGTTCATACATATAAGTAGTAGTCGCCAGAGGTTATCTCATACTACTGCAGCAATTCTCGACAGTTTGATTTTTTAAAGGCTGTTCTTGTTTAATTGTTGATATGTACATTGTTTCAAGCCTGTTTGGGTTGTAAAACTGGCTATTCATATTGGAAATTTGTTGTGTATAGACTATAGAATAATGAAATTTTAGTTTTGATTTTCAAATATACATGCATACAACGAAGGCATTTTTTCTTTTTCCTTATCTTTTCATCTTTCAGGATTCATTCTGTGGTTTTCTTATACTGTGCAGTCTCAGTACGAGCTGTTCGGGTCTTCTTATTTTTTCCAACTGATTACTTATTTTATTTTAGAAAAGTTCATACTAGAGGGGGCTAGAAACATACCGAATCAATCCAAACCACAAAAATTTCATAACGGATACATTTTGGGTAAAAAAAATTAGTAGAGAAATGAGGTGGCACTATTGATTTTTTAATGAGGTCACATTTTTAGTAGAGAATGCTCTCTATTATAGAGGCAAGTGTGAAGTCAAATAGATATTTAGAGTTGAACGAGTATTATACGAATCATGTTACGATTGTTATCGGCGGATCCCTAAGTTAGGTTCAAACCCGCAGTGGCGGATCTTTAGAGTTGAACGAGTTAGGGACCCTAACTAACCTGCAGTGGCGGATGTATAAATTTTGAAGGTTCAAATTTATTTTATAAGTTTTGGGTATTCAAATACATATATAAACTTTTACACTAGCACAGTAGCACTTATATGTGTGTGTGCGTGTAAAATTTTTGTGTTCAAATGAACACTTTTGAACATAGGGAGGTCCACCCTTGCTAACTCGTTGCTAAAAGTAGCATTTTCACGTTAAAAAGGAGCAGCGTTTTGATGTACCCGTTGTTATCCAAACGGACCCTATATGATTTGTTGTCTAAAAACTCTAAGCAACGCCATTGTAATCAACTACTCCATTGTAAATTCAATGATTGAGATTTATTCTTATTTCTCACATTAGATACATTTCTCATCTAAACCTATATATATATATATATATATATATATATATATATATATATATATATATATATATATATATATATATATATATATATATAGAATAAAGATCAAATAAGAACAATGCTTAACGAGAGAACGTGAGAATACCACATTTACCTCAACGTGTTGCACAATGAAGCGTGTATATTGCACTTTTCACATTTTTACAATATTTACAAAAATGCCACCGTGTTTATTTATATAGGCTTAATTCGAGCAAATTAAAAATGTGCAACAGAACAGCTTCATTGTGCATCCCATTGATTTAAATGTGAGTGTTCTCACGTTCTCACGTTAAGCATCGTTCTCACTGGAATCGCACCCTATATATATATAGGATCAAATGAGAAGGGTGCTTATCGTAAGAAGTGAGAATGCATCTGGTGCGTTCAATTTAAGATTTGTGCATCAGATTAGCAAAAAATTGCAAGGGAAAGTGCAAAAAATATTTAAAAAGTGATGCTAGACGTGGTAGCATTTCCGTAATTAATCGGAACTATTCCGCCATCGCAAAAAGTGCATCAGATTAGCAAAAAAAGTGCATCAGAAATAGGTAAATGTGTAACTTCTCACTTCTCACGTTAAGATGTCTTTTCATTAGAACCCGACCCTATATATATAACCAAGCATTCCAGCTCAGCTGGTTGTGAGGTTACCGTGCCTAGTGAGAGGTCTCGAGTTCGAAACCCGCTAGACACATAAGTGTTTGGAACTCAATGGAGTGAGTTTCAATCCTGATTACTCCAGGCCCCCCAGCTCCCCTCCCCCAGGCCTCCTTGGAGTAAAAAGATATATATATATATATATATATATATATATATATAGAGAGAGAGAGAGAGTCCCATTCTGGTGTGTCCGGCCGCACAAGAAGCGTCGTCGTCGACGGATTTTGGCCACCTTCCCGGTGGAATTTTTTGATGAAATTTTTATGTCATGTTCTTCATCAAGTCTAGTTTATCCACACAAAAATTCAGCTACAAACTCAATCCGGAAGGTCGACAAATAATTTCTGCGTTAACTACGTTTTGGAAGGCGGCCAAAAGCCGTCGGCCGGACGCCCCCTCTGGTGCGGCCGGACGCACAATGAATACTTCTATATATATATATATATATATATATATATATATATATATATATATATATATAGGGGTGAGATCACATACAAACTATGCTTAACTTACTAACCTACAAACTCAATAATATGCAACACTTTGAACTTCAATATGCAGTACAAATAATGTAAAAATGCACTCTTTGAATTTCAATATATATATATATATATATTATATATATATATATATATATATAGAGAGAGAGAGAGAGGGAATGATCCTGTCCAGCATGATGGACATGATCTGCAGTCCGAACGTCGCCGTTTGGAGTGGTTCCCGGTGGAATTTTTTGATAATTTTTTTTAGCATGTTCCTCATCAAGTCTAGTTTATCCCCAAAACATTTCAGCTCAAAATTCGATCGGGAAGATAGTCAAATATTTTTTGAAGTTAACTGCGGCGTTCGGACGACGGCTCCTGTCCGAACTGCTGGACATGAGCATTTGTGTGTGTGTGTGTGTGTGTGTGTGTATATACATACATATAAGTGTGTGTGTCGTTTTGACTTTGTTTATAATAAAATTTTTCTTTGCTTCAAGCATTTGATAATGGATTTTATGGACTTGTGGGTGTTTCATAAAAAAAGGATGACACCTCATCCCTGAGGGCCCCCAACCCCGACTGGACGGTACGTTGGGAGGATGTAAATTAGACTATAATCCCAATCTGACAGATAGAGAATGGGGCTCTGTCCCTGGTACTTGCAGAGGCCCTATGCATTTTTAGCATAGTAACCCCTCATCGCAGTTGCCGGGATTCGAACCCAGGACCTAACCCTTGTGGCACTCCCTTGCTACCGGTTGAGCTACGTCCACCGGTTTGTGGGTGTTTCATGTAGCTTGACAATGAATTTTACATGTAGTTTTGTGTATTCTTCTTGGTCAATCATGTGAATCCTCCTTTCAATTTTAATGTGCTTTTCTTTGGCAATTCTTCCTAATAAGTATAGGTTCAATGTTAATGTCAACATTCTTGAACTGGGATGAGATTCGAACATGTGGCCTTCTCCGTGAGAGTGTCACAATGATGCCATCAAATCATAAGGTACTTGGCATTTTTAATGTGCTTTTAAGTAAGTTTTTTGTACAACTTAATGAGCACGGTGGCGTGCCATTTATATTTTATAGGCTACGGCATAATCATGAAATAAGAATTTGCGTTGACCAAGGTTCAAAACACGCAGCGGTCGTGTGGAGGTTACAACTCATGCGTGCTGGACTGGACCTCTGGTGCGCACGGGTATAAGCCCTACCATCATTGGGTCGACTGAGTCGCCGTGACTTACATCCTCCCAAAAATTCTGTCGGATTTGGGTGTGGGGGACCCTTGGGGTTGGGGATTCAACCTTTTGGAACATTTAAATGGGCTTCAGTTATTGAGTGGGATACATGCCAAAAAAAGATCAAAGGAAATGTTTCGCTAAGAATGAATTTTTTATGTGATCAGAAATTATTAGTCAAATCTTTTGGTCTAATTTATTATGAAATTGAAACCAATCGAGTGAAAACATTTTTTTATCATCAATTCCAAACATTCTAATTAGAGATAATTGTCACTAATATTACTAAAACAATATATCTTTCCCAATATATGACTCCACTAGTTTTATTCCTAATCTAAATCCTAATGCCATGCTCCATGAGTGATAACGGCACTATCAATAAGGAATTAGTTAAGTATGGTAACCACCCCATGTATGTGTTTGGTCATATATTACATACAAAAACATGTATAGTCATTTTTTAAGAGAAGTCTTGAATTTTAGTAATATTGAGGTATTTATCCCTTCTTATTAATCTAAGCAGTCATTAGCCAAAAGGCTAGCAATACAAGTAGGCAAAACATCATAGCTTCTATACTGATCTGGGAGACTTACGTGTGCTCTTGTGATTGCATGAGCCACACGATTTGCAGATCGTTTACAAAAGAGACACAAAACATACTCTTTGTTTCCAACATTTTCCTAATATCATCAATAATAATATGGAGATAAGAAGATCCTCCCCCGCTTTGGACATTCTTCACTACCGTCATAGCATCAGTCTCAAACTCCACTCTATTCCATCCTTCCTCAATTGCCCCCGCTAAAGCTTCTTTTAGTCCTACTGCTTCGGTCTCTGCCACTGACCAATTTGCCTCAACCGAGCCCCCCTTGCTTTTAGAAAATTTTGACGAGCACTTTGTCACGGCGCGTCAAAATAAATTCAATACTAAACACTTATACGTAGTATAGTGTAGTAGAGTTCGTATCCACAAGGAAAAGAATAATTCTCTTTTTATGATACTTGGTAAATAAAAGGGGGAATTTAGATTGAGTGATTTAATTTAATTAAGAACTAAGATGAACAACCTATATGTGTTTAATTCAAAGATAAAAAGGACTTGGCATTGCTACTTTCCACTTGTTGATATATTTTAGTCGATCATTGTTATATCTATAACTTATTCCCTCTCGAATACTCAATCGGGGAGTATATCCACTTCATCGAGGGTAGTTATTAACAACGACCGTTCATTAATAACCCTTACTATTAATCAAATATAGAACAACGCCGTATACCGATTTAATAGTAGCATTTAATCTTTCTAACTCCTTGATGAAATCAATTGAGATTGATAACCTCAACACAAGCGGTTTCGGTTTAACCAACAAAATTAATCCCTCTTAAGTTTATTAACCACGACCGTGCATTAATAAACCGAAGTTACTTACTTGTGAAACCATCAACGATTAACCATCGGTTCGTTGATCGTTTCTAGTAATAATTAATATATGAAACAAAACTAGTTGATCCTTTAAGTAATGTTCAAAATATTAATATGAAATAAGAGTAGGAATTAATTAATATTCAAGGAAGAATATTATTAAAGAAGATGAATCCTACTATAATTAATATCAAGATGTTAACTAATTGTCATCTTAGCAACATTCCCCAATATTGATATAGAGGAAGAAAATATCATTCTAACTAATGTCGAGATGTTAACTAATTGTCATCTTAGCAACACTCCCCAACATAAATATAGAGATGGTATTAAGGAAAGAACTATTAATTAATATTCAAGGAAAGAAGTTAAG